TTAGTCAGTGCTGTATGTAGCACAATATTTTTCTTTAAAATGGTGTCTATCATAATTGTTGTTTGGAAATCAGTGCATGGTAATGCACTTAAAAAGACCAGTTTTTCAGTCATTACATTTCATAAAATAGTCTCATCACATGTTATGAGTAATATTTTACTAGTAAGAGTTCTTATTATTTTATGAATTATTGTTTTTTTGTATGCTGAATCAAACATTGATCAGAATAGAACATTTTGTATATTTTTTTATTTTGAATATGTGTGCTTTTTAATTGTGGCGAGTGATAATTTAACTATATTAGAGCCAATAAAATAGAATAGAACGCGTTATACATAAACTTTGTGTAACATTCAAAATTTCTATGTATGTGAGGATTGTCCTAACATTCAATGTGTCTAGTCATTCATACACTGTTTCTTTATTTTGAGTTTTCTGAAACATATACCTGCCATGGTGTGAAATGTCAAAGCTGCCATGTTATAACTTTGATTCAACTATAAATGATATAACCATAACAACTTATTATAGCCGTTATTGTGTAATGAATTTATCGAATACGGCAACGGTTATGCAAATCTATTCAGTGGTGGCGGAACGGCGGGGGATGGGGTGCAGAGGGAGCGGTCGCCCCTCCAAAAAATGTTGGAGGGCGTTGCCCCTACAAAATCAAGCAGAAACCTCTTGTGTCAGCAAAATTTGCCTTTCGAAATGCAAGAATTGGCGTTTCAAAGGGTCTAGATTTCAAAATTTTTAGGGGGGAGCATACCCGCAGACCCCCTAGTAAGGCTGATGAGCAGATCTCAACCTTCATGCAAAATTTCGTGCCGCCGCCTTTGCTATTGTATCATCTTTTAACGAGTCTTATAACTTAATTTTAACTTGGACAGGTCATCTATGTCGCTCGCAATCCAAAGGATGTGGCTGTTTCCTGCTTTCATTTTGTCCAAGCATTACTGAAAAGGATTGACAATTCACAATGTTACAAGAGTTTCAGTGCCTTTCTACCTGATTTTATCATATGTAAGAATGATGCACAACATGTGATCTGTAAGTATACACACCTCTGAGGAAAGGATGTATTTCGCAAGATGTCTCAATATCATAAACATTGTATAAGACTGAGCAGCACTTCCATTTAGATGGAACAGCACCTCCTACAAAGATGAATGTATTTAGAACCCTAAAAATAAAAATATGTATGCTACATTGATTATATAACGGTATAAACTATATATATAAATGAAGTATATTGTGTTCTTTGCTATTGAATTGTAAATACATTCTGCAGATTATTTCAATAATGAATTTTATTTGTTTATACGTTCTATAGACCAGTTGTTGATTTGTTAATATATCCCACAGAACATTTCAGTGATTTTGATTCGCTTATACGTTTCGCAAACTAGTTTCATATTATTGTTCTACATACTAATTGTGGAAATGATGATGAAGGGAGACTACACATGTGATACATATTTAAAGTTACATGTAGTATAAGCTTGTAAAACAACAACTAAAATTGACACACGGACAAAACAGTTGAAAAACTACATGTATCTATCCTAAAACACATCCTGGATCTAACACACTGTCTGAACTTAATATTATAAAGTTACATACATTGTCTAAAATATTCATATAAAGTAAGAAATTGATGACATTTCCAGCTTTTATTGGGGACCCAAACTCCATAAAACACTTTACAAAGCTAAGTTTATGGTTGGACCATAAAAATGTTTAATAGGGAGTCGAAACATGTTTTCTAGAAATGGTATAAATCAAGCATGGGCGTAAATATCTACATTTATCTGCTTGTATTACATCATATATGCTATGTTGAAATATCAGAATGCTAGAAGCATTGTTATATACTTAGATGGGTTTACTGCATACATACAATACATACACCAATTAAATTGTTTAACCTGTAACACATACTATATGCCATTGTTCTAGACGATGGTTCACTATGGAAGGACCATGTTCTCCACTGGTGGAGTCGAAGACACGATAGCAATGTCCTATTTATGTTTTATGAAGATATGAAACAAGTAAATTCAATATTTACACATTATACTTCACATCACATTAAACGAAAATCACGAGTTAATATGTGTTTAATATTCTAGTTCTACCATGCGAACAGTATATTATCTTATTCACTACAGACGTTTTTTATGAAATCACAATAATATTATAACTTCACCAAACCCAAGGTTAGATAACAATAAGAATAATCTGTGGAAAATACTCCATGGACATTATGATTTGTATTAGTAATTTTGCATTTTTTTTCATAATAGTGAGTATATACAATTTACACATATACATCAAAGGCGAATATGTAAAGGGAAATGAATTCATCTCTCATCCACTCACATAAAAATTAAAATCACGTTTTTGTAAGTTTGTATTTTTAATGTATAGGATCTAACAGGAAATACTAGGAAAATGGCCGAATTTCTTGAAGTGAAGCTTGATGATAATGTCGTCGAAAAGATTGCCGATCACTGTAGTTTTGATAGCATGAAGAAAAATCCTATGGCGCTTAAAAGCGATTACTGTTCACAACGTTTGAAAGTCAACCCCACACATGACTCGCCATTTGTGAGAAAAGGTACATTGTGTTTACCCACGAGACCACTTATCATGTGTAACACGAGTTGTTACCTTTCTCAAGACCTGAATATGTATTTTGTAAATCTTTGTAGTCATACTGACAAACACAAGAACTGAATACATATGTAAAAATGTGTTGATAACTGATAATTTGAATTCATACCAGAACGCAGAATATTTTATTTGGTGCAGCAAATTTTGCTTGAAATATTAGTCACATTATTACCTTGCCCGTACCATCAAAGATGGAAGGGAAAGGTATATTAAGGGAAAAATGTTGTCCGACGTTGTCGTCGTCGTTGTCGTCATCGTTAATAATTGTTATTGTGTGCATGATAACTTTACTAATTCTATTCCAAACTTCATCAAACTTGGTCACCTTGTTCATCAGTATAAAGTCTTCCCTGAGTTTGAACAACAGATGTCCTGTATG